AAGTCGAATTGTTCCGGATTTAATGTTAAAATGAGAGAAAGAGAACACACAACCCAATGGAGTGATGGGAGTACGTTATGCCGTCGCTCTCTAGGGACAGTACCATCAGTAGCAAGCCTGAGTTGTCCCAGACCGCACTTATCTCGGGTCTTCAAGTCGCACACCGGCTCGTGATGCTATGTAGAGAGCTCGAGATTGCCCCGGTGGACCCCATCCGAGGCGATTGCGAGGGCTTTCCGGAGGTCATTATCGGCGCCACCGACTGTGAAATGTCCTGTTCCACAGTTCCCATGCACCAGGTGCATGCATGCAGTCATAATATGTAGGCCTTCTCTCCCAATCTTTTGAGCACTAGCCGCAAACGGCGCTTCTTGGCACTTCATCGCGACACATCCAGGTGCCGACAAAGCGGCTTCCCAGCTCACCACCTCGCCCTCTCTGTCGCTCTCCTGGCCCAGGCCCATCAGTATCAAGTCTGAGCTGTCCCATACCGTCCTTGTTTTGGATGATGAAGCCCACTCTGGCTCATACCACGGCTCTTACGGCCTCACACACGCCCGTTTCACCCACAGACACCGCCGGCACGCACTCCCACTTCACACATGCTCAAGCACAACCCCACCAAAGCACAGCCCTGATCAGAATGGGCAAGGGCTACCACTTGGTGACCCTGGTAGCCTCTGGATCGCCACTGCACTCGGCTCCTCTGCAGCGGTCTCGCGCTCTCGCCAGGACAGCACGCCGACGGCAAGCTTTGAGGTCCGTCTGGTGGACCTGCTGTGGCCACAGCCGCCCCTCGCATGCAGCTCGCACCAGACCTCGACACTGGGCTCGCTCAGCTTGGTTGTGGCAGCGTGTGTGAAGGATGCGCGGCCAAGCCGCTGGCGCTGCTACAGCGGCGCGAGAAGCAGGCAGCGGCGCGACACCCGGTCGGTCGAGTCTGGCCGTTCTCGCGACGCCGGCCGGCGAGGGTGGCGGCCTGTGGCCGGCTGGTGGGCGGAGAGCAGCCAGGAGGACTCCAGAGTAGCCAGCAACACCAAGCAACGGGCGAGCGCACAGCGAGCGCAAACACAGCTTTGAGAAAGGGCGGGGAGTGGGCCTTTAACTTGACCGCTCGTTCGGGCTTTGGGCCGCAGGCCGGCGCGCAGCGCCACGCCGCCAGGCGTCCGCCGGAGGCCCGCCGGAGGCTCTTCCTGCGGCCACATTCTGGCAAGATTCCGCCGCGCTCAGGCGCCCAGAGGAAGCGTGCCCTGCGCTCAAACGTCGCGATTTGGCAATAG